TCTTAGCAATATCAGATATATTCTTTTCTCGCTTAGATTTATCATCTTTGGATTTGTCATCTCTTACTTTTAGCAATGTATCTGTTAGAAGGCCTAGACTGGTCACTGCCTTACACAGAAATTTTTCAACTTTTTGTAGTTTGATATCCTTTGACCTCGTGTTTGAGGTCAATTTTGTTCAGATTTCTGGGTTCACCTTGGGCACAATAAACGATTCACAGTTTTTAGATCTAGGGTATTTATCCATTAGTGCCTTTAGTTTGTCCTCAGGCAGTGCCTTGGTCATAGACCCGTTAACGATGGCCGCCAGCTCTTTATCAATGTCTGGCCCGGTGGTATCATCGTTAAATTCGTTCACTAGCTCTTTTAAGAAAGAGTTTAGTTTTCTCCGTCGTGTTTTACCCCAGTGCTTTCACCAACGAGCAGAAGATTTGCAATAGCATCTTCCACAGCGTCCGAGTTGTCGGATGTACGTTGCCTTTTTGGCGGGTTATCTTCTGGCTCTGAATTTTCAGGCTCAGATTCCGACATGCTGGTATCGTCGGCCCTCTGACTTGTCATGGCCGCTATGGTTTCATTCACAGAATTCAACGTGTTTACGATTTGTGATTTTTCCTGTCTGGATTCCTGAATGAAATTTTTCATGTAACCCACTAACTCTTTAAGTAGAGCATTTGTTGTATCCATCTCAGGCGCTTTCACCTGTTTCCCTTTTGAGGTGCTTTCTAAAGTTGTAGGATTGGCCGTTGAAGCCTTCGACTTGGAAACTGCACCACTTTTCGCGCCTTTTTTAGTTGGTGGTTTTTGAGGAGCTTGCTCCCCTAAATCACATCGTTGATCCACTTGTGGATTAGTATCTCTGAGTAGATCGTCTATATTGAAGGATTCGTGTTGCTGAGTCGTAGTGTGGCTTGCAGAACGCTCTCTGCGCTGGGAGGGAGAGGAACTCTCGTCCGCCATCTTTGATACAAAAGCTCGAGAAATAAATCAAGGATTCGAATAAACTCTTGATGATCGGCTCCCATAAAATCTTGGACACGTAGCTGGAAACTTTTCGGACGTAGCGCTGATAAATACAGGTACATTTTACGGGATTTAGCAAGAGTCGACAAAATTACGTCTTCACCACATGGATCTCAATCGCTCATGGGTCTCGGTCACGTGCTCAATCTCACGTGATCCCGAATGGTATCGGATTGGTGAGGTAGAATTAGGCATTCTCTCGCAACATAGATTATTTCTTCGAGTGGCTTCTGATGATTTGATTTTTGATGAAATGATCCATAACAATATGTCAAACATAATGACCATCGAGGAAGACCACCCTATAAGCCTAATGGTTTCTTTAAGGTCTCCTCAACCTACCATGCGGTTGAACGTGTATAAATTTTATTTTCGCAGTAAATGATGATGACGATGATTGTGATTTGTTTAGTTTACTTTCCCCGTCGGTCCGTCATGGACTCAAGATGTGTAATCACGTAATCACAGCCTGTAGTTGCTTTTGTGCTATTGCCTGGCTAAACACTCTTTCTGATAAACGGACTTTATCATAGTTAGTAGAGGGGACCCTCTACTAACTATGTCGCAGCAGAGAGCGCTATTTATGCAATAGCAAAAATCAGACCTGAAAAAAAATCAGGCCTGTACGGGATTCGAACCACTGACCTCTACGATACTAGTGCAGCGCTCTACCAATTGAGCTAACAAGCCAACTGGGAGCAGGCCGTTAAGTTGATTCGTAATAAACCCGTGATGATGAATCAGATAGACGAAGGAAGCGTAGGAAAATTAGAATAGACATCTCATTAGCTCCTTTTGTTCGTCTACCAGCATTTAAATTTGACTAATACTAAATACTAATTACTAATTTAATATTTATATTGCGCAAATTAACATGTGGATATGATCAAATGCGCATCACAACACTTTTCGGGGGACTTTGGCCGGACTGCATCAGCAGTTTACAAACAATCGAA